AGCGTGCGAAAAATAAGAAAATCTGAGGTAGAGAGAGAGGCTCTGCTAGGGTTTCGGTATTTTGGCTTGGAGGGGGCATTTCTAAGGATCCATTACCTCAAGTAAGTGATTTTAACCTCTAATCTTCTTTCTTTATTGGAATTTCTTGGAATTTCTGAGGTTTTTTAGTGGAACCCTAGGATTTTCTAAGTTGTGATGGAATTGAGGTTTTTGACCGATTGTTTTGAGTTTAATTGATTGCATTGGGTTAGTTTAAGTATTTAATCGGTGTAGTTTCCTTGGATTTAAAGAATCTTGAATTTTTTTGGAGCTAGGGTTTATGGAATTGGATGATTTGGGATTGAGGATGACAATGTAGAGATTGATTGTGGGTTTTGTGAATTGGGTTATGTTAAGGAGGGTTAAATTGGATGTTTAATCGGTTTAGAATTGTTGTTGGAACCTTAATTGCTCAAATGGGATGTTTGGGTGTAGAATTCCATAGTGGGTCCTTGAGGTTGTGAATCTTAATTGATGTTTGGAAAGGAATTAAGGTGTTAATGGATTGGTATGACTTTGGAGTGTTGCCTTGATAGATATACCCTTTGAGTTTGGTAGAGTTTTGATGGGAGATAGGAATTTTGTGTCCCCAAGTGTTGTGTTGACCACATTATTAGTTTGAAAGCTAATATATGATGGTTGTGTGTTTGTGTGCTTGTGTAGACCGGTTGTGAGTCTTGGTGGTGCACGGGGCCACATCGTTGGTTTGTTGTTCCTTGCTCAGGCGAGAGGTAACCACTTTCCAATCCTTAGTACTTGCTTCTGTGGTATTGTGAGTAGATTTGTGTTTTGTGCTTTAAGTAGTAATTATGTTCGAACTGTATGTTGTATATAAAAAGGGAAAACCGTCTTGTGGGGTTTTTAATTGATGATGAATGAAATCTTGAAATTGTGAAGGATATGTCACTGAATGAGGTTAATTGTGAAATGATTATTACTCTTTGATTATGATTTGAGTATGATGCATTAATTGGGAATTGGTGAGAGTTTTGTCTGTTACTACCACGTGGTAAGGCCTCCATTAATGCATGATGGTTGGCTTAGTACGTCCCCCATAGTGAGGGATAGGCCTTTTGGCTCCCTATGTCCCCCAGAGTGAGGGATAGGCCTTTTATGGCTCCTTACGTCCCTCATAGTGAGGGATAGGCCGGCTTCGACTCCTGAAAATCCCCCAAAGTGAGGGATTTGGTTGATGGGATTGCATCATTGCACTTACATGAATTGTTGTGGCTATCGTTTTATATTGTTTGTGAACTGTCCCACTTGACACCTCATGAGCACCTATTTAGTAGTACCTAGTATTGGAAGGGTTGGTTACTGGGATTTAGTCTCACCCCGTGGTTTACAATGTTTTCAGGTGAAGGTTCCGGGCGTGGGCCATCGGGAAGAGACGCAGAGGCTTGAGCTCAGTTAGCTTTAGGCCTCTAGCATTTGTATATGTATGACTAGTATATATTGTCACGTTTAGGACTGCTTTTGATATATTTGATTACCCGGCCTTGTTGTAAACTGGAGAGAATGTATCTCCTTATTTTGGTTGGCCGGAGGTCATTGCTAGTGTTTGATGAACTCTGGATTATATGGTTGAAAACTATTTAGATGGGCTGATCTTGATGTATGTGTTACCCGGGCCGGAGGCTCGGAGGCCCAGTGGATATGAATGGATTATTTTAGTTGCATGCAACGTCTTACGAGTTGACCCGAGCTTGAAAGTCAATTTCTAAAAATATGAAATTTTCCTTCTACTATGGTAGCTCGTTTTAACAGCTCTCCTTTTCTACCATAGTAGAGGTTTTATGATGGGTTAAAATGTCTTGAGGTAGAGGGTTTTTACACATTCTAGTTATTTAATAATATTCAAAAATTCTCGATGAAGCCTCATGACTTGATTAGAAATTTGTTAAAAATGTAGGCTTGAATTTGAATTTAGGCATAATTTTAATTGGATTTAATCAGGATTCCCCTTTTTCACTTTTCATCTTAATTGATAATATATCATATGCCTAAGTATGTCTTTGCCTTTATTATGTTCGTTATTGACAATAACATCCCTAATTCTAGAGCTAGTAATACGGGATTGACTATATGGGCCCAGCTTGCTAAAAATGGCATGTTTTGCCAACTTACCAAGGCACGCCCAGCTACTTAAGCCCGCACAGCATTCAACCTGCTCCACCACATGCTAGCCTGATTTTTTTTCCTTTGTTTTTTTTAAATATATCACTTTTTCTTCATATAACTTACCCAACCTTTAAAATTCCAAACCTCACTCAAATTAAATCCTAACCCAAACCAAAAAAGCTAACTCATAAACAGAAGCATAAATATTAATCACTTTTTATTGTGAAATTTCAACCCAAATTATTTCTAAAAAAACCATATTCTTGCTTGAACTTTGAAAAAAAAAAACATTTTTTTTAAAAAGTTAGGCGGGTGGCGATGCGCTAACCTGTGAGCCCGCATTGTTATGGGTTGGCTCGTATCCTCACCGCAAGCTTATTTTATCATCTCTACCTAATTCTCTATATTCCTAATGCGTGGAATAGGTGCAAATTCTAAATTCAACACAGCGTGACCAACAAAAACTAAAGTAGAGGGAAAAGGTTTTTTTTTAGTTCCTATTTTATACCTCCCTTCAAAATAGAAGGTAAATTTTATTCATTTATATTTATTAAGAAATTAGTTAAAATCAGTTAAAACAATAAATATGTAAGGCATATATATTTTTTCAAATATGCCATTATTAATGAAGAGAATATGTAAAAAAATATAATAAATGAATCAAAAAATATGTTGAGGGTAAAATTAAAAAAAAAAACTCATTAAATGCTTGAACAAAAGTGAATGTTATCTTATAAGAAAAAGCTCTTCCAACAGAGTTCTACTCCTCCTGAGATAAAAAGGCTTCCAGATGGCACAGTCAAAACTGTTTTCACAAGGCCAGGCCAACAAAGTTCTTCTGTACCTTCTGGTCGTATTTTAACTATCACCCCGGCCTATATTCTATCCAAGCGAGATCTTCTAATTGCTCGGGTAGATCAAAATGCCAAGCCATGTTATGTGTTTCACATAAATGGTCATTTCATTTGGGATCATGCACCAGAAGAATGTGATCCTGACTGTGAATGCGATACACCTTATTGGTAGGAAGCATCAGACGATGAAGATGAAGATGGATGGTCTTATCCCATCAGATATGTTGCAAAGAAGAAAAGGGAGAAGAATACATCTCCTTGTTCCCATAGGCATTACCATCATCACCATGATGATGATGATCATGGTCCGAAGCAGAAAGCTAGAAACTGGAAGGCTCTTGTCCCTTCTAGCAGACTTTCTTTATATGATTTGCTGAAAGAAACAGGTCATGAAGATCTCTTTCCTAAACAGAGGCCAAATCCAGTGATTCCTGTCATCCAACAATAGCAATGATGGATCCTTATGAGCAGGATTTTCCTCCCTTTGAAAGAAGAACCGACAGAGAAACAAAGGTTACAGCAAGACTTTTCACTGTTCCAACAGAAATCACTCCTACTAGTAAAGTTAGACCAGTCTCAGCAGTAGAAGAAGTTCTTAACTGGTAGACCCAGAATGTGATCGGCCAGAACAGAATTCTGACAAAGATTGATTTGAAGCTTGACCTGCTGACTCTTAGAACTGATACTCTGACAAGTAGACTCGACCAAGTCTCTAATCAAGTCAAACAGCTTCATATGACTCTGTCTTCTCAGGCTTATCAACTGGATGCAGATTTGAAGCGATTTATCGAAAAGGGATATATTGGACAGAGAATTTACCAGGAAAGAGCAAAAATTGTCACAAATCCGAAAGGATTTACAAAGAATCAAGTCAGACATCGCAAAGGATCATTCACAAACCATCTATGACCCCTATCCATCTTATCCCTCTAGTTTCTAACTTCCTACATATCCAACATCACCTCCTTCCTATCCTAGAGAATCTAACTATAGTAAGGTTTTCAGAATGTCTTATCCTATTCTAAGACGGTTGAGAAAACCTCAACCTACTATTCCACTGGTACAACCAAATCCTCTTCCTAAACCTCTAATAAGACCACCTCATTTCCCTTCATCTGAAAGACTTTTCCACCCATCATCCTCGTACACTAAACCTACTGTACCAACACCATCCTCTCAAGGAGTTATAATAAGAACTCCACCATCATCTCCACGAAAACAAACTTCTCTTCCAGATAGAGAAAAAGGAAAAGAAGTTGTTGATCCAAGCAAAACCATAGCCACTTTCCAATCCTTAAATAAAGATCAATCATCAACAGATGGAAGCTCTGAAACTGAGTCTATCCTTCTATTGAATATAGTTCTAACTCTGATTCTGAGACATATCATGCTGATATCTCTAAGGTAGCAATGGTTCAACCAGATCCTACAGTTGAAGATCCTTTTGATAAAGAACCATTTGTCCCTCATACATCTGAGCCTAGAAGAACAAATTATAAACCTACTACAAGTCCATGGTTCACTTTTGATGACCTTCCTCCAGAAAAATAGAGAGATAGACTTCATGAATTTGGCGCATGGATTGACTTGCAGCTTGTCAGGCATGATACAAATCTTGAGGAAGTTCTTACAGAATTTCTCTCAAGACTGACTAAAACATTAAGAGAATGGTTTCAAAGCCTCAGTGATTGCCATAAGATAGCAGCAGCTAGAGTTGATAATGCAGGAACTCTTCTAGGACTCATTCACAAGGAATTCATTGGTGATTTTCAGATCATTGACAAAAGATATCGCCAAGAATACTTTGAGATGAAATGCTGTTCTTTAGATAAAAGAGACCTGCAAAAGCATTTTCAAAAAATGTCTGAAAAATACTACATACTCGAAGGAGCTAATGATGTCAATCTCAAGCATACTTTTATTGCCTCTCTTCCAGATGAACTGTAACCAAAACTTCATAGAGCTATCAATGCACTCCATAGAAATATGTCTGACATTTCTATAGGAGAAATATATCAGTTGGTATTAGTAACTGTGGACAAGCTCTGTGAACAACAAAAGTTCTTCAAAGGAATGCTGAAAAGACAGTTAAACCTGAAGCATGCTTGCAAAAAACCCCATCTGAAGATAAAGTGTAGAGATGATAAGGATTGCTCTTGTTCTACCAAGAGAAAATCTCATTATCGCCGATTTAGATATCCAAAGGGTTCTTATTCCAGGAGAAGATCTAGAAAGCCTTTTCTGAGATACTTCAAAAGGCACAGGCCTTATTCAAAGAAATCTGATAGGTGCTATTTATGCAAGAAGAAAGGACATTTTGCAAAAAAATGTCCTAACAAGACGAAAAAGGATGTGAAGATGTTGGAACACTTGCATACTGTTCTAATGATTAATGAAGATGAAGATATTGAATCTGTCATCGAAGAACTAGATGCTCAGGATGAAGAAACATAATATGTTCTTCTTTTCTCTGAAGATGAAGAAACTGATTCTGAATCTTTATCCCAAGAAGATGATGATCCTCAAGGGTATTTATATTCCCTTGAACAACCCGTATATCCATCTCTCCTTGGTCCCCTGGCTTCTCAGCCAGACCACAACAAAGTTACTTCCAAGCTAAATGTCAAAATCCATATCCTTCCAGGAAGGTATGAAAAACCAATTCCTGTTATTGCGTTCATAGATACTGGAGCTTGCAAAACTATCATGAATCCTGATATCCTTCTTTCTGAAGCATGGATCCCTTGTGATCAATCCTTTCTTACTGCTGATTCAAAAGCATTCAAGATTGAATGGATTACTAGAAGGAAGATTGGTATTCAATTATTTCCAGGATGTGTTCTATGGATGAAAGTTCTTGGTAGTGATCTCCCTAGGAAAGATATTCTTATTGGATTTGATGCTTATTATAATACTAGGAATCTTCAAGTACTACCTAAAGGAATTACATATAAAAATTTCTTTAGTGCATATACTGAAATTCCTAATCTTTTTGAAATCCAACAAGCACTACCAGGATATGAAGGTATCCGAGATCATCTCCTCAAGTTTTATGCTGATAGTCATCAACAATTCTCTCATCCATTTCCGTTATGGAAAAATCAAGAGTTTTTCATAAAACTCCTTTTCAAGAAAAATAAAGATATCAATCCCATAAAAGCCTCTCATCCAGGAATGAATCCAGAAGATCTCAAACTCGCCAAAGAGGAATGTACTGCACTTCTCAAAAAAGGCCTTATTGAACCTACAAAATCTGATTGGACTTGCCAGGCGTTCTATGTTGAAAAAAAATCAGAAATCAAAAGAGGGAAGAAAAGGTTAGTCATTGACTATAAGCCTCTTAATATTTTCCTTCAAGATGACAAATTCTCTTTACCAAAGCCCAGTTCACTTACAGTCCATCTTAGAGATGCACAAATCTTTTCCAAGTTTGATCTTAAAGCAGGATCTTGGCAATTGGGTATCCACCCAAAAGATCGACCCAAAACTGCCTTTTGTATTCCAAATGCCCAGTACCAATGGACTGTTATGTCATTTGGGCTCAAAGTTGCCCCATTACTGTTCCAAAAGGCCATGACCAGAATCTATGAACCTATGCTTGATAATCTCCTCATTTATATTGATGATTTTTTACTCTTCTCAAAAGATGAGGATTCCCATAAGCTCTTATTGACCTAGTTCGGAAAAATAATTGAAAAATATGGGATTATGTTGTCGGCAAAGAAAGGAGAAATAGGTGTCAGACATATAGAATTTCTTGGAATGAATTTTGAAAACAGTCAGTATCATCCTGGACCACATATTGCAGAAGAATTGCTCAAATTCCCAGATGATAATCTCACAGCAAAACAAATTCAAGAATTTCTGGGGATTATTAATTATCTCAAAGATTTTATCCCTCATGTGTCTAATCACATCAACCAGCTGTCCAAACTTCTTAAAAAGAATCCTCCAGCATGGGGAACAGAGCAGACCTCATGCTGTCAAGACTCTTGAAAAAATTGCACAACAACCACCTCCTCTAAAGATCCCTGACAAAGGACTGCGAATCCTCCAGACTGATGCCAGTGATGACTTTTGGGGAGCTGTCTTAATTGAAGAAATAAATGGAAAGAGATTCTACTGTGGATATGTAAGCGGACAATTTAAGGAGTCAGAAAAGCATTATCATGCTACCTACAAGGAAATCCTTACAGTTAAAAGAGGAATCGAGAAGTTCAGTTTTCATCTTAGTGCCTATCAATTTAGAGTAGAAATAGATAATACGTCTTTTCCCAGAATGCTTAATCCCAAGGGAAAGATTTTACCCGACAGCCAGTTACTTCAATGGCAAGACTGGTTCTCTCACTATAAATTCTCTGTCTATCACTTTAAAGGTCACCAAAACATCATAGTAGATTTCCTCACAAGGCCTCAGAAAGTTTCTCAGCCTCCAAAACTCCTCTCACTCTCCAAGCACTAACCTCTTTTCATCCTAACCATCTCTAAACTAGAAGTACCTCACAGAATGAGAGCCACTATTTTTCTTCCTGGATCCCATCCTGAATCTCCAACAGATGTCCAAAACCTTGCCCGAAGCACTATGTTCTATTGGCTCCACCATCTTTTTGTAGATACTGGAATTCACCCATATCCTCAGCACTTTGATGTTGATGCTCCATACCTCACTATTCCCATCATCAAAAAACCTATACCAGAGGAACTCTTATGGCACATTTGGTCCGTCTCGGTCAATTATACTTGTGCCATAGCCTTCTCAGTCGTAGTCGTACATGATCACCTGAATGACTTCAGAAACGAAAATTCTCCTCTTACCACAATCTTTAAAATGATTGCTCCTCTTCCCTACTAGAGAGGAAAACTTTGAAAAATTGTCAAGGAACATAATATCTAGGACTTACCATCTCCCAAACAAAAGAGATTTTTCTATTTGTATACCCTTTTCAGGAACTATGGTATAAGTGCTGACCAAAGGCTCTACATAGACAACCATTTGATTCTCCAAGTCACCACCCCCTCATGGCTAAGAAATGAAGCATTATTAATGGAGAAAATTAAGAAAACATTAACTGCACTTAATCAGCCTGACACAGGAAAAGAGACTTCATGTCTTTCTCTTGGACCTTTCCCTCCAAGTTCACCATCAGCCAGCAGTACAATACTTGAAGAATGACACAACTGCCAATTACTTTAATAAAGGCAATTACCTTACTGATTATAAGAAGACGAAATAGACTACAGGATGAATTACTTTAATAAAGTAAAAGTAGAGGGCGACATAAAGTAGGAATATGGCGGGTCTCTCTTATCTTCAGAGTATCACAAAAGGAGATTTTCTGATGATGGTATTTCCTAGTCTTTATAGATAGGTTCATGATGCCTTTTGGGTCAGGGTCATCTAAGTCATACTGTCTCCTTATACAGTAGGATTCTTCAAGTTCTGGGTCAAGGTCATCTTAGTTAGGATCCTGGGATTCTCCAATAATGCACGTAGAGAACAAAAATTCAAACAAGGGTATGTAATCTCAATATGCATCCACCAATTCAGAACACGAACTGCACATTCAAAACAAACAACGCACAAATACAACAATCATATACATCACACAGCTATTTGCAGAAATTACACCCGTCTTAATAAAACCTTAAATTATAGTCAAATAACGGTACTTTGAAAATACATCTTGAAACTTATACAGGTAAATAAACGGAAAGGTTAGGTGGTACTTCAATAGGAACTGTCAAGAAGAGAAGCAATTATTGTATGGTGTGGGAACCAAGCACAGATTACTCTTCCTTCTAGCTGTAACGCCAAGGGTTTCCGTCATGTCTAAATCTTTTGGTTTCATTCCATTCGGGAGTTCCCAGTCAAAGTGGTAAAGTAAGCTAACCAGAGCAAGCTCAATACTTGCCAAACCAAATGGAATTCCCGGACATATTCTCCTTCCTGCTCCAAAAGGGATGAACTCAAAGTTTGTTCCTTTGAAGTCAATATCAGACTTGCCTGATTGGAACCTCTCTGGTATGAAAATCTCAGCATCATACCAGTAATTCGGATCTCTTCCGAGTGCCCATGCATCTATTATAACTTGAGTTTTGATGGGTATTTCATATCCCTTAATCTCACAAGTTTCCCTGCATTCTCTTGGGAGCAACAATGGAACTGGCGGGTGTAACCTCAATGCTTCTTTTATTACTGATTTTAAGTAATTAAGTTATGACATTTCGCTATTATCATCAATTGTTACTTTCTTTTCTTTAAAAGCCTTTCTAACCTCATCTTGTGCCTTTTCCATCACTCTTGGATTTCTCATCATGTCTGACACAGCCCAATCTAATACTGATGCTGCAGTATCGGTTCCCCCACCAAACATATCCTACAATTATGATAAGCACAAATTGATGATCATTAACGTCATCAAACCCACATGTTATACGACAATAACCCAGGCCATAACCTATGATATATAAACCAACAGATAGGTAATAAGTAGAGCTAACCCATATAACAGCTTTAACGTTGTTGCTTGTGATTGGGACATCGAAGTTTTGATCACCTTGCTGGATCCGCAAAAGAACTTGAGCAAGATTTTCTTCTACCAAATCACTATCGTCGCTTCCTTCTGCTTTCTTAAGCTTCCTTAGATTCTCCTGGAGAATATCCTCCAAAACCTTGTCTACTTTCTTATGAATCTTCCACAACCTTGCTTCCATTCCAGTCATGAGACGGATAAGTTTATTTGAAGAAAACAAATCAGCAAAGCAAAACCCACCCAGCTCTTTCAATACTTCATGGAGCAACTTCACGAGCTCTGCACCATCTTTACGCTTGTCGCCAATCGCGACCCTCATAACTATAGAACTAGTCAAAGAGTAAATCTTGCTCGTGAGATCTAATACCGAACCTACTGATGATTGAACTGACTCTATGAGCTTAGACACCTGATAAAGTAAGAAGGGCAACGACGAAGAAACATTGAAATATGATCAAAATTTAGGCAACCCTCTAGTCATATAAGAATTCTTAAGTAGAAATTGTAATCTGGTTAAGGATCCATTTTGAAATGTTTTAGCTTTTCAAAAGTTATTGGTGAAAACAAAAATGTGCATATATACTACTTTGGCTTAGATCATGACCATTTCAGCTAGAGTGCTTTGGGTTGTGGGAATAATAATAGATCGCTCTAGAATATAATGACAAACATGTGAGTTTTTTAGCAATACTTAATGTATTTTATGCGTAGCCAGGTATCAAAAATACTTCATATCAGATCTGTACCTCATCTTGTCGTATAGGGGAGAATGATTGAACCTTCTTGGCGCTTAAGAGCTTTAGAGTACATATTTTCCTCATCTGTCTCCAATAATCGCCGTACGGAGCAAAAGCAATATCAGCTGATCCATAAGAAAAAAATCTTCGCAGTAAAAGTGCATGGCCTCTGCACAAAGGCAAGATCATGGGTCTTCATAATCTGTTTGGCCATGTCAGGGGATGATACTATCACTGTAGAAACCTCACCAAGTTGAAGGTGCATGAGAGGTCCATGTTTGAGGGATAGTTCATGAAGGGCATGGTGTGGAAGTGAATTGAAGAGCTTGCTGCCGCTAACTGATGAAGGTTTCCCAATACAGGAAGCTTCCATGGCCCTGGGATTTGGATCTTAGCTTTGCTTTTTGGCTTTGCGAGCTGAACCAACAACAAGAAGAGGAAGGGAACAAGAAGCAAGAAAGAAAATTGGCATTCCATAAGAGTTTATTAGCTTCAAGTGTGAACTTGAAATTGATGCATGCTCAAACCTCAAAATCCGTGTATGTGCAGCGGCTCCAAAATCATTTTAATAACATGAATGGAATGATGACAATGGTTGGATAGAAATATCCAAAACGAGATAATTATTTCCACCTCTAGACTTTATAATATAAGAGCTAGTTGAGAATTAGATTTGATTTTAAATATAAGATCTCAATTCAGTACGTGGCAGCACCAAATTCTCTTGTATAACTTGAATGGAAGCAGGAACTACTCAAGACAATGATTTAAGCGTCAGTAATTTTGGTTAGTTCGAGATTAGACTGGTCATAATTAAAATAGTATTTAAATAAATAAAATTATCAAAAAACAAATTTGTTGCATATTTTTTTATAACTTTCAAGACTCAAAAAACGGTGTTGTTGTAGAGTTAATGAGGGAAGACTAAAAAACATGTAGAATTCAACCAACCTCTTGATCCGATTGACCAAGGGATTAGTTCACGGATTCTCACTGCTCTCATTTGTTGACCTGGTTGACCATGACTAATTAATAAAACATACTCCTCCGGTCCTTAATATAAGACCCAATTCTTGAGTTGGTTTTGGTCCTAAATATAAGACTCATTTCTCATATTTATCAATTTTTTCTAAATTACCCATATAGATAGTTAGATACTCTATCAACCATAATCAAGTAGAAAAGAGAGAGGGGGTATTAAGAAAGATCATTATAGTGTTTTAGGAAAAATGTGTCACTTTTTTATAATTAACTAACGTGCCTAACTTCCTTAATTTAATCAAATTAGTTAAATGAGTCTTATATTAAGGACTAGAGGAGTATATAAAAGATGTGAGGATCCCAATGGTGCGTGGATAAAAATATCCGACGGTAACGGGATACCTATTAACGAGATATTTTCATCTTCTAAGGGCTTGTTTGGATTGCCGTTTGGAATGCCAAAAGCACACGGGAAAGCGTAAAACTGAGGTTTGTGGCTTATTACAGCTCAGAAGATTGTTTGGATTGAGCTTCGTTTCTAAAACATGCATAATATCTATAGTCTTTAATATAATATAAGAGTTAAATAACTAATTTGTGGATGTTAAAAAATTAGTTAAATTAATTAATTATAATAAATATGTATTGATTTTTTAAAAATATTTTTTTAATCGTATGCATTACAGCCATCCCTCCATGAAAATATTCTTATTATGTGCAATGAATAGGAATATATTAAAAAGTTATAAATTTAGAAAACAAAGTGGATTGAGATGAGCAAATTAAATTTATCTAACTCATATTTAAAACTAAATGTAATATTTTTCTTTTAAAGATAAGCATACCACAAATTATTTATATTCATTAGGTCCATTTTTTTAACTTTAGTTACAGTATATAACATATATACATATATACATATATATTACTTATATATTTAAGGAAAAAAAATTAATAGAGGCAAAAACATAGTAAGAAAGCCCCACAGTTCTATGTTACCATCAAATTTTATTTAAACATATATCATATACAAATAAATATCTTAATATATAATTATATATTGTTTATTTTTTGACGGAAAAACAAGTATCACTCGGTTTGTTATTATAAGTCACTTGTATCCAAAATCAAAAATCAAAAAATACATTAAATTAACCAGTTTTTTTTTTTCACATTTACCCTTATTAAAAGTTGAGAGAGAGAGGAAAGAAGGGGATGGACTGCATAGGAAATGAAAAGTTGAAAGAGAGAGATGGAGATAGAGAGGGAGAGGGACGTGTTTCAAGTAGCCATTACTTCAAACTTAAATTGATTAATTTTTATTAAATTAATAGGAGTAAAATTGGAAAAGATCATTAATTATACTACAACGTAACTGACTTATATTTTAAAACAAACTTTTGAGGTACAAGTGACCTATAATAAAGAACAAAGTGGTATTTAATAAAAGAGAAAGAAGGGCATTGTTGGAAATGAAAATGAGAGGATGAGAGAGAAATTGTCAAGGATAAACTTTTGTGGGACCCACGATCCTTTATTGCTCATTTGCTCTGACCAATGATGTCATGTAAGACTAAACCTATCTGAGTTTTTTTATTCTGAGAGTGTTTGGATGGAATCAAAACATGATTTTAAAAATGTTCTTACGATATAAGAAATAAATATGTGAAGGATTTTATCTCATTTTGTAAAAAAATATTTTTAAGAAGTATTTTTTGGGTGTTTCCAAACACCATATTGAATTGGCAAATTACAAATGACATGGTACTTCTCTCCCCCTAATGTATGCAAAAAAATTTCTCTTTAGGTTACTTTTGATTTACGTGATACAAGGCATTGTATTTCACTGTATAGATAAAAAAATTAATTAAAAATAATAAATAAATAGAAATCAAATTTTTTAAAAATATTCTTATTTATAAGAGAGAAAAGTAATAAAGAAAAGAATAATAAAATTATTATAATAAAGAGAATTATGAAAGAGAGAGAATGTGTGATGGAAAGATATAAAGATTTGAGAAATAAGATAATAAATATATTAAGTATTAAAATAAGTAATTAATAAGGATAAAATAGAAAATTTGCTACAAAAATTTAAAATAATTTATAAATATTACTTATATTTAAGAGTAAAAAGAGATAATAGTTGTTGCTTAAAAAAAAAGACAAGATTGTTTATAAAAAAAAAACAGCGGAGGGAGTAATTTTTACTTTCTTAATATCTGTAAATTTCAAAACCTGCATCTGTTTTATTAATTAAATCAACTATGATGGGCCATGATTTATCACTGCAAGGTTCGTGAAATGACCATGGCATTTGAAAAAACTCACTCTCATTAATTTTCAGTCGGAATATATGTGTGTGTACATTATCCTCCCCCAACTATCCTCATTAATTGGATCCATAATGCTTTTTTTCCAAGCATTTTTTCTCTCCATCTTTATTATGTTTGTTATTGACAATAACATCCCTAATTCCCGGCACCCCTAATGGTAGAACGGGTGAAAATTCTAAATTCAGCACAACACGGTCAACAAAAATTAAATCAAGTCATATCATAGTTCTCTAGAGCTATTTATAAAACTCGAAAGAAAGTTTTTTTTTCCCCTTATTTATAAGTTATATTATTATATTTTTAGTATGAATGTATCATTTTATATAAGGGTGTTCATTTATGTCTTATCTCGCGTCTTGTCCAGGTCCAAGTTATTTTGGGACGTGACAAAAATGTTGATATATTATTTTTAATTTTTTTTATTTACTTTATTATTATTATATAATAATATTATAAATTTTATAATTATTTTGTCTACAATTTATAATTTTTTGTATAGGTTATACTATAATATTTTTGGTGATATCTTGAGTTTGTATAATTTTTTATATTTAAAAAAAAATATTTTTTTGTTAATTTTTTATTATTGTCAATTTTACCCAATTTTATCTATTTTTTTATATAATTTTTACTATAAGTCTTCACGCTCTACATGAATTTAGTTTGAAATAAAAAATTCAGAAAAAAATTAATAAAAATAAATGGGACTTCCCCGTCTCATTTCAATTATGTCCCGTAACAAAAAAAGCCATCTCGTACTGTTTTATCTCATAAACACCTTTAATTTTATTTTTTATTTATTATTGTATAGATTGTATATTTTAGAAGAAAAGGTACGTATTAGATAGTGATAAAGTTGAAAAGTTATTTAATTTTAAAACAGAGTTAATTAAATTTAAGATTTTTTTAGATTCCTGTCAAACATATTGAAAAACATTTTTAAATAAAAGCAGAAAAAGTATATAAATTTCAATTTTCATATCAAAACAGTTTGAATATGTTGTTTAATCCTAGAGTGAAAAGTCAAACTCCATTTTGAATAGAACGCTGTGTTGTCTATAGCCAACGCACGTAAAGAACAAAAATTCAAACAGGGGTTATGTAATCTCAAAATGGATCCACCAATCCAGAACAAGAACTGCACATTCAAAACAAACAACACATAAATACAAGACTCATATACATCACACAGCAATTTGCAGAAATTACACCTGTCTTAATGAAACCTTAAATTATAGTCAAATAACAAAACTTCGAAAATACATCTCGAAACTTATACAAGTAAATAAACAGAAAGGTAAGGTGGGTACTTCTATAGGAACTGTCAAGAAGAGAAGATTATTGTATGGTGTGGGAACAAGCACAGATTGCTCTTCCTTCTAGCTGTAACGCCAAGGGTTTCCGTCATGTCTAAATCTTTTGGTTTCATTCCATTCGGGAGTTCCCAGTCAAAGTGGTAAAGTAAGCTAAACAGAGCAAGCTCAATACTTGCCAAACCAAATGGAATTCCCGGACATATTCTCCTTCCTGCTCCAAAAGGGATGAACTCAAAGTTTGTTCCTTTGAAGTCAATATCAGACTTGCCTGATTGGAACCTCTCTGGTATGAAACTCTCAGCATCATACCAGTAATTCGGATCTCTTCCAAGTGCCCATGCATCTATTATAACTTGAGTTTTGATGGGTTATTCATATCCCTTAATCTCACAAGTTTCCCTGCATTCTCTTGGGAGCAATAATGGAACTGGCGGGTGTAACCTCAATGTTTCTTTATTACTGATTTTAAGTAATTAAGTTGTGACATTTCGCTATTATCATCAATTGTTACTTTCTTTTCTTAAAAGCATTTCTAACTCCTCATTGTGCCTTTTCCATCACTCTTGGATTTCTCATCATTTCTGACATAGCCCATTCTAATACTGATGCTGCAGTATCGGTTCCACCACCAAACATATCCTACAATTATGATAAGCACAAGTTGATGATCATTAACGTCATCAAACCCACATGTTATACGATAATAACCTGGGACATAGCCTATGATATATAAACCAACAGATAGGTAATAGATAGAGCTAACCCATATGACAGCTTTAACGTTATTGCTTGTGATTGGGACATCGAAGTTTTGATCACCTTGCTGGATCCGCAAAAGAACTTGAGCAAGATTTTCTTCTACCAAATCACTATCGTCGCTTCCCTCTGCTTTCTTAAGCTTCCTTAGATTCTCCTGGAGAACATCCTCCAAAACCTTGTCTACTTTCTTATGAATCTTCCACAACCTTGCTTCCATTCCAGTCATGAGCCGGATAAGTTTATTTGAAGTAAACAAATCAGCAAAGCAAAACCCACCCAGCTGTTTCAATACCTCATGGAGCAACTTCACGAGCTCTGCACCATCTTTACGCTTGTCGCCAATCGCGACCCTCATAACTATAGAACTAGTCAAGGAGTAAATCTTGCTCGTGAGATCTAATACCGAACCTACTGATGATTGTGAACTGACTCTATGAGCTTAGATACCTGAAAAAGTAACAAGGAAGACGACGATTGAAATATGATCAAAATTAAAGCAACCCTCTAGTCGCATAAGAATTTTTAAGTAGAAATTGTAATCTGGTTAAGGATCCATTTTGACATGTTTTAGCTTTTCAAAAGCTATTGTTGATAATAAAAAAAAAATGTGTATACTACTTTGGCTTGGATCATGACCATTTCACCTAGAGGACTTTAGACAGTAGGAATAATAATTGATCGGTCTAGAATATAATGACAAACATGTGAGTTTGTCAGCAATAATTAATGTTTTTTAACGAATTTTTAAGTAGAAATTGTAATCTGGTTAAGGATCCATTTTGACATGTTTTAGCTTTTCAAAAGCTATTGTTGATAATAAAAAAAAAAATGTGTATACTACTTTGGCTTGGATCATGACCATTTCACCTAGAGGACTTTAGACAGTAGGAATAATAATTGATCGGTCTAGAATATAATGACAAACATGTGAGTTTGTCAGCAATAATTAATGTTTTTTAACGCGAAGCCAAGTATAAAAAATACTTCATATCAGATCAGAACCTCATCTTGTCGTATATGGGAGAATGATTGAACCTTCTTGGCACTTAAGAGCTTAGAGTAGATATGAGGGATAGTTCATGAAGAGCATGTGTGGAAGTGAAGAGCTTGCTGCTGCTAACTGATGAAGGTTTCCCAATACAGGAAGCTTCCATGGCCCTGGGATTTGTATATTAGCTTTGTTTTTTGGCTTTGCGAGCTGAACCAAAAACAAGAAGAGGAAGGGAATAAGAAGCAAGAAAGAAAATTGGCATTCCATAAGAATTGATTAGCTTCAAGTGTGAGATTGAAATTGATACGTGTTCAAACCATATATCCGTGTGCGTCGCGGCTCCAAAATCATTTTAATAACGTAAATGAAAGGATGGTAGTAGTTGGACAAATATCCAACAAACAAGATAATATTACTACCTCCAGTAATTAACATAAAACTAATTGAGAGATTGAATTTGGTCTTAAACATAAGACCTTAATCCACTCTATTTTTTTTTTTTCAAAATATCCCCATTAATTATAAGAGTTTCACTAAGGGATAATTCCAGTCATTTAATGTTCATACTGAAAATAATCATTTATGGAGACCAACACATGTTTGTAATAAATAACTAATTTAATTAATTTTTTAATATCCCCAGATTTATCAAACTTTAATTTTATGTTTAGCACAAATAGTAACTAGATATTTTCATCTCCTTAGGATGTCGGTATAATTAAAGGACTTGTAGATTGAAGCAAACTGTTCATCTCAATTATATAGAGCAGGCAAATTGTCGAGATGGTGTGTGACATTTTATCTGTAATACCCCACTAAGATTCCCACCACCAAATAAGGGTACAGCCAACATCATATACAGTACAAACATGTAAACAAATGAATAAAAAAAACAAGATCGCATAATAACTCAAATGTATTAACAGAAGAAACATCAATTGGTGGGCGAAAAGAGGGCTATCGATCGTGAATCTTATTTCTTTCCTTCTTAGAATAATTCTCCTGTGCAGTCCAATAGGTTTGGTTCTTTTTATGTACAACTATGACTTGCATCTCCACTAAATCATTGATAAAATTATACTTTTCCAGTCCTTAATATAGGATATAATTTTTGGGTTGATTTTGGTCCTAAGTATAAGATCTATTTATAATATTTATCAATTTTTTCTAAATTACTCTTATGGATCTCCCTCAACCATAATCAAGTAGAAGAAGAAGATGATATTAAGAAAGATAATTATAGTGTCATATTTCGTATAAATAACTTACTTAACTTCCTTAATTTAATTAAATTAGTTAAATAGGTTTTATATTAAGGACTAGAAGAGTATCTAATCCAATTATATGTATACTCCTCTAGTCCTATTTATAGAGCAAAGAGAGAAGATAATTTTTGATCCTATTTATAAGGCATTGAGAGAAATTTTTTGTGTAAATGTATAATTTGACCCCTCATTTATTATTGTGTTAACTTTGTTTATCTGATATATAATATATATTAAATAGAAATAAAGTTGAAAAGTTACTAAATTTCAAATGAGAGTTAAAAAAGTTTAAAAAATTTTTTAGTTTGTATGAAATATGTTAAAAGTATCTTATAAATAGGACTAGAGGAGTAATATATATATTTATTAATATACATGAACAACTGTTTTTTATGATAAAGGCACTTACCTACCGGTTGAAAATGAGATTTTGCTAAACTAGATTAGCTTAAGCCTCCTATGCAGTTTATTCTCCAGCAGGTCCCACATTGTGAAAATTAATAAAGAAATAAAAGAACAAGATTAACAATGCATTTTAGTTTTAAACCTTCAAATTTCAAAGGAATCAGTTTCAGTGTTTGTCATCTTGATGAGCACTCTAAACTTATCAGATATAGACAATCTATATTTGATTTAAATAGTTCATATTTAAAATATTTAATTAATTAATTTTAAATAGAAAAATTTATTTTGTTTGAAAGAATGATAGTTAAGATATTATCTTTATTTTAGGTTCTATACATATTAAAATAATTATTTTAAACAAATAAAAAAATCAAATCCGGACTATCCAAATGAGATATAGTCAATCTAGATCTGATGAGCTTAGAGTGCTCATCAAAGTGATGAGCATTGAAATTGGTTCCAATTTCAAACTATAGATTTTGATCCATTAATGAAGAAAATGATCCACATATTTATTAAACTATAGGGAATAATATTAACACTTAAAACTTCGATGTGCTCTCCTTACTAGAAATTTACTTTTAAACAAATAAAACACGTTTTTATTCAAGTATAAGCAATTTTCCTGGCAATATATATCATCACCAGCAGATTGATACATAATGCAATCATAAACTTGTTTGTATACAGTTTATTTTTACTGAAGAATATGAAGCAGATTTTCTACCGTATACAATATAAATGTGAACCTCATCTTTCTTTTTGTTCCCTACTCCCTTATTCATTCACGATCTGCATGTATGATTATTCTTATTCTTAGAACATGAAAATAAATCACATATTTTTCTTAAATATCTGAAGTAGTCAGAGAACTACTTGCAAGTGGCTACCAAAACTCTTCGGGGAGGAAGGGAAGGTCTTCTACCATGAAGCAAAGCCATGTTATCTAAGAACAGAACATCCCCTTTCTGCCACTTGAATTGTATGCTTTCTTCTTCAATGATCTCTCCGCACCTCTCCACCACATGGCTAGGAATCTCAGATCCATCCGCCATTGTTGCCGAGCTTAGCTCCTTGCCGTACATCCCTACCACTGTGTTAAACCACATCCTCCTTCCTTTCCTTCCTTCGAACACCCTCGTCAATGGCCTTGGCCCTAGTATCGTCTTCACTCCACCATCTGGCAGCCACTCCATGTCCATCCCTAGAGCTTTTGCCCTGCAACAATTTCATCAAAAAAGACAATTAGTGTGTTTTATAGGTGTAAACGCTCTCTTTTCTAACAGACTGTATTTTCCAAAGACTTGTGCGTTGTACCTTCTTTCAGCTTCCTCGCGATCTGAAGTGCCAAAAGCATCTTCCCATCCCCTGCCTCTCATGGAGGAATTGTCGTTCTGAGTACTACGTGCTGTGAATGAGTACTTCAACCCTTTCTCTTCCATTTCCTTAACCTCTTCTGGGAACTCCTTCAACATCTTCTCTGTCACTTTGAAACTCGGAACAAATGGTGTCTCTCCCCCCTCTGGGGGTGGTATCTCGCAGAACAGTATCACTTTCTTGGGACTCTCCTTTATCTGATATATATCATTCCAAAAACACACAAGATAGAACCATGCGGTTTAGGCTAAATTTTGTTGCAGTGATGGAATCAGAAAAGAAAAACTCTTGACTTATTCTAGTCTTATGGCTATGATTATTAATGGAAGAGTAATATATATGTGTGTTTGTGTGTGTGTGACGTACCAAAACCATTTCATGGTGATAGTATATGAATTCTGAGAGGGGTCCTTCATTGGCAGTCCAAACTCTCTTGTAAATATGAGTACGAGGTGCTGGTCCAACGTAGCGAATGTCATCCCAGCCGCAGGTTTCGACTATCTCATTGAAGTCTACAGCGTTATTGACTTCGAAACCTCGAAGAAGAACGGCACTGTTCTTGATGATCATCTGCTCGAACCAGTCTTTGTTGTTTCTGAGAGCTGAGAGCAACGATTCCAAGTCAGTCTTGTTTGGTTCGGGAGGTTGCAGCACCAAAGGCATGGTTTCTCCGTCTACTATTTTCTCTCCCTCACATTTTCCAACCTTGAAGTCTTTGCAACTGAACTCCATTGTTTTCCTCTCTGATATAAAATCCTTGTTTGGTAGATGGTTTTGGATATGAGGATTTGAGTTTCGCTATGGCTATATATATAGTGCTTGGAATTGGCAATTCCAAGGCCTTTCTCCTCAGCCAGCCCCTATACGAGTGAAAATTCTTCTAGCCGTTTTGTAGTTTTTTTTGTCTTAAGCTTCTTATAATTTGTGCAACAAAAATTGATTTCAAACTAAAAGCATTTTATGTTTAATATATATATCTTGTTTTAATTATAAAGATTGAGCCTTGCAAATTTTAAGTGATGGCTTCTATAGCGTGAGATGTAACTTTTACCTGAAACCTTCTGTGGCTACAATTAAAATTTAATGACTTTTCTGCTTTGTTACTAATGAGAGTTGGGTTTAGTAAAAGAGGTTAATTAATCCTTTATAACATGATAAATCCAAGTTCAAACCCTTGTTGCGAAATATCTTCACATTTAATGCCTGAAAAAAAATCTCAATCTCTTTAATTTAAAAAAGATATATATTAGACATGAAAATGTTTAGCTTCAATCTCTCGTCTCTCGACACAAAGCAACTCTAGTATTTTTGGTTAATACTACTTGCAGTCTAGAGACTATCTGTTCTTTTTCCACCTTTTAGATTGAATCAATCACAAATAAATACACAAGATTTTCATAATAAATTTTATTGAAAAGCACTAGAATGTGCCTAAAGAATTTTCAAAACCAAACCAACTTTGCATTTGACGAGCCAATTGTTTTGTTGCGATCACGTACGTACGAAGAGAAAAACCAGCTCGGATGATATCAATGTATCATAGTGCCCCTAATTACTAAAAGTCAAAAAAGAATCAATGTTGAGGCGAATGTAACGGAAGGTAAGGACAAGATTTGGGGGCCAGTTAAGTTAATTAGATTAGTAAAAATATAATTGATACGATCAATATAATCTCCAAAGTTGCTAGTTAATCATGAAATTAAATAAGGAACATTCGAGTTAATCTATTTGTCGTGATATATATAGCTGGCTGGCTCTTTGTTGAAACATCTTTCCCAATGATAATTACTGCACCAAATTTTGAAGGTGTACATCAACATGAAATGTGAGAAGATTCATATTCTTATAAATTTGAAGGACTTCTATGAAAGATAATGTAAGGAGTAAAATATTAGAAGTTTGATGAAAACTTAATAGTATGAGATATTACGTTCTACATCGTGTAGTATAGCATGCCCAATGATATAATGCTTCTTAGTCTTGATACAAGAGTTACTTAACTAATTTAAGTAGATTAAAGAGGTTTATTAAGTTAATTATTTAAAACAAATATGAGTTGAATTCCTTAAAATATCTTTTTAATCATAAATATCCTCATATTAAAACTCCTTAATATATGTAATCAATAGGGATACTTTAGAGAATAAATTACAAATTTGAGAGACAAAGCAAATTGAGATATTATATTTAGTATTAAATATAATTTTAAATTAGTTTTTATATTAAAGACTGGAAGTATATTTTTAGAAGGATGGCAACCTCATCATTTAACAAATAAACTTTAGGATATACTAATCTTTTATTCAAATATAATTACTAATCACACACAATAAAATATAACAATATATATAAAAGAATATGAACTTTTTACATGTTCTTTTTCTTCTTTAAAACAAATATATTAAATACATGATGTCTTTAGGCTATAAAGTTATTTTAATAAAATTATTTATTTTAAAGACTGAAAAGTTAAAGAAGAAGAAGGAGAAGAAGGTAAAAGTAAACAATAAATTGGGTAACATAGAAGCATCTTTCGGTGGCAACAGTTTTGGGCGATCATGGTCCAAGCCCATGCCCTCTTCATCCTCTTTCTCATCATAAAAGAAAATATAAATAAAAAAAATATGTAACAGCCTCGTAACAAGTGATAATTAAACATTTCTAAAATAATAATTAATTCTTTAAAGATCAATAAATAGGAAAAAGTTAACCAAAAATATCTAAGTAATAACTATAGTAGAGAGAATAAAACATATGATGGAAAATTACCATGATTATATAAAAAATCTTGCTAATCACTTTGAAAAGTCAACCATGATTATTAACAATTCATATCCATAACAAAGCAATAGTCACTATTTCATAATAGCTAGAATAATTAATAGGATTAAGGTGCGCCCAGCACCTTAAACTATTTTTCCATATGCGCCCAGTGTCTTAAAATAATTTTTGGTGTATCCAGTGCCCCAAACTAATTAAAACGGTGCATCCATATCTCAAACTAACAAAAAAGTTAAGTTTGGCTGTTATCTTGCTGACTCAGCTGAAGGTTGACCGAAAAATCCTACATGACGGACACGGAGGTGTCTGATATGTATTATTTTGACGGGTTAAGGTGCACCTAGCGTTCCAAACTATTTTTCAAAGTGCGTCCAGTGTCCTAAAGTAATTTTTGATGCATCCAGTATACTAAACTAATTAAAACGGTGTGTCCATATCCTAAGCTAACAGAAAAGTTAAGTTTGACCATTACTTTGCTAACTCAGCTGAAAGTTGACTGAAAAATCCTACATGACGGACACGCAGGCGTCTAATGTGTATTATTTTGATTGAAGCTCCCGAGACGAGCCTGGTGGCAACGGGTGTTTTCTCGAGAGGCGATGTCTACGTTGATGGAGTGACCAAGGGGAAGTTTATTGTGTTCTAAGAGGAGTAAAACAAATATGAGTCGAATGAGGAGTTGACAAAGACGAAGGCGGAAGTGTGCTATGACGGCAATTGCAGTTTCAAATCAGAGTGGTGGAAGAATGGGATAAAATGTTAAAGACGAGGATGTGATTGAATGGGTGGTACATGTATCAGGATTTAAGAGGGTGGATTAGTGGTTTTTTTTTTAAGTTTAAAAACTGACAGAAGATAAACGTTAGAAGAGGGGGAAATAAATTGAATTTTTAGTCAAAATAATACACATCAGACGTTTGTATATCCGCCATGTAGAATTTTTCGGTCAACCTTTAGCTGAGTCAGCAAGGTAGCGGTCAAACTTAACTTTTTTATTATCATGGGATATGGACGCACCATTTTAATTAGTTTGAGACATTGGATGCACCAAAAATTACTTTAGGACACTGGGCGCACCTGGAAAATAGTTCGGGATGCCAGGCGCACCTTAACCAGTCAAAATAATACACATTAAACGCCTGCATGTCCGCCATATAGGATTTTTTGGTTAACCTTGGGCTGAGTCAGCAAGATAACGATTAAACTTAACTTTTCTGTTAGTCTGGGATATAGGCGCACCGTTTTAATTAGTTTGGAACACTTGATGCACCAAAAATTATTTTAGGACATTGGGCGTATCTGGGAAAATAGTTCGAGGTGCTGGGCGCACCCTAACCCTAATTAATATAACAAGAAATAACCAATACTTGATTTTCACGTATATGATGAATCCATCAACATTACTTTGGAATATCAAAATACAACTACAACCAGTTGTAAATGGACTAGGGCATTTGAAGCCCATTAGAATAACAACCACTACCGTTCATAACAATCGCAACCAAAATAAAAGTCATATATATGTCTAAAAAGGCTCCATCCAACAGCGCAAATCCATAATGTTGTGGAAAAATTAAAAATATATTAAGTATAACCAAAAGGCCCTAAAGTTTGGCAATATACATCAATCAAGGCATATATAACAAAACAGAGTCTATACAGAGCAAAAAAAGGAAACTCAAGCCTCGGACAGCTTTCCCTTGGGACCAACACCTGAACCCTCACCTAAAAAATGTTAATTAACCACGAGGTAAGTCAAATTGACCCAGTAACCATAATTCCAATTCAACAAGTATACATAGAGTGATTACAAGATAGTTAAGCGGGCAAAGTACAATTTCGAATAATATATAAGGTAAATATCTTTATAGAAAACAATATATAATAATTCAGAAAATAACTTGCATGCACATAACTTCATCAATCATCCTTATAGCCTCCTTATAACCTCTGACAAAACCTATGAGCTATTCACACATAACAGGATGTACCAAGCTCTCCAATAATAAGGTATAACTCGGCCAAAAGTTACAGAACTCAAATTGGATCATGGATTCCCTTTCCTTAGAATACGGAAAGGTGTCATGTCTTTTGGGCTGACCCTTAACCCGGTCAAAGGAAGGGTGATGTCGATGGCCCTAAGAATGTAAAAGTCAGCCACTGGGTGCCAAGGGGCGGCTATACCATGTGGTATAAAATAACCAAACCTCCCACAATCATACTCCATCACAGCCCAATACAATTCCATGAGCATTTCAACAGTTCAATTTCACACAATTCAATATCCATAACTTATTTCTATATTCAATACTCAATTTTGTTTAACATCAAAAATATAATCTCAAGATAAAACAATTCATACCCACTTAACTAATAAATTTATCAAAACATAAATTTCATATTTTTATTCCACACTTTTTAGATATAAAACACTATAACATATAATAATAACATTTATAATATCAACATATGCATATAATCACATCAACAAGCATACAAGATAAATTAGAAAGTGGTTACCTCAAGTTCTTAACATAAGAACTAAAACGGGAGGATTCAAGACTCAAGAGTCCAAACCAAGCTCATTCTACAATAATAAATTTATAAACATGTATTAATTAAAAAAAACTAATTAATATAACATTAAATAGTTTATTAGTTAAATCCCTACAATTGACTTACATAAAAAATGTTCTTTAGGAAAAAGATTTTTAAAAAAAATTTCATCTATCCTTCCAATCAACTCCCAAAACTTATCAACTTTATTTTACTTGCTAAAATTATCGATAAGGATAACTCCTTCTAATAATCCAAAAATCTCCAAAAAGTTCTTACTTTAACTCTTAGAAAAATAACCATATATCAACTATACCTCAAATTATCATTACAATCCTATTTCTTTCTTCTATTAATCACCTCTCACTCATTAGGATAATTAAAGTATAACATTT